GCCCCCCCGCCTCGTACAATGGATCCCTGTCCGGACCCCAGCCGCTTTGCACAGGTTGGACAACTCCTTATCGCAACAGGAATGATCCCCGGCCCAATGATCGGCGAGGTGTTGCACATGCGTGGCCAACACATCGCCATCGTCACTCCTTCGCCTCCTCCGCCGCATTGCAATGCAGTGTTTGCAACGCGTCGATCTCGACAACATCATCTGGCAATGCTTTCCTGCTTCGTCAAGGAAGAGCACGCCCCAAACAATCTCAACGAGTTCATCCTTTTTTCTCGTGGACACCCCTGCCACATGTACACATTTCAATTTGAGCCAAAGTTCGAGCTCCTTCTTTGTGAAACACTTCACCTCGCGCACATGCTCGCAAGCCCCGAATACAGCTGGTTTGACAGTCTTCGTGCCGCGCACAGCCTCTTGCAAGCGTTTGACCAAAGTCTTCGCCTTATGCCACATACACTTTTGAGAGCAAATGTTCATTCGCCGCAATATGACGTCAACCGCGCCACAATCATCATGCACAACCTCTGCGATTATGAGGTTCTTCTCGTCCTTCAACCGATGTAGCAGTTTCTCAACACATTGCGTCTCCAGCTTCCATTACGACTCGTTCCCCCGGAGCATGGTCTCCGTCCCCACGATCATTCCTGACTTCAAATCCACCGCCGTCACCGTACAATACTGAGCGTCACGAGACGAATCGTAACGCCCATCAACCAAAATGATGACCGGATCGTTCGACCTACGCAATCGCGGGATGACCTTGTCGAAGCTCTTTTTAGTAACCCGTTCAACGTGTCGCAACCATTGTCGGGAACCTGGGCCGTCATCACGAAAAAAATTATAGAAAGTTTCTTTCCTGACCTTCCTCATCCCTAAGCCCCGCAGGAGGTTATTCAATTGAGTGTAAGTCATTCCCGCAGTCAAAGTGGAGTGGAACAATTGAGTCTTAACCCTCGAATTTCTCACCCCGCCCGGTGAAACAACCTTCGCGGAGCTCCAGTGCCATGTGCACCCTTTCCCGCACTAGAATTGCAACTTGCAAATGTGACATGGATAATGGATCTTCTTGATCGTCACCTCAACGTCTTTCCCGTGTCGAGGACACGTTTGCTCGAACATCCCAAGAATCTGAAGAAGTTTGACCGGCTCAATGAAAACGACATCAGGTCTTGCTTTAGCATCCCACATGACCATTTGGTCCCTCACGCTCAATCGTTCAAACATCGGACCATTATCCGAATATCCCGGCTTGCCGTCGCGCCATTTCAATGCGTCACTGCGAGGTCTGCCACCTCGCGACTTTGGTGTCGCCGTTGCGTTCGATCCTTGTCCGCATTAACCCCCATGGCCAGACGATTGTTCGTCGGGCCCGTACTTTGACATCAGCTCATCAATGTGAACGGAACTCTACTCCATGAGCTGATCGAACACGTCCTCGTACGAACAATGATTTTTCTTCTTATCTTTGGAGCCTCGAGTGCGAGACGACAACTTCTTCCCCATCGCCTTCGCAATCTCACCCAGACGATTTTTTTGATCAAGTCTACATCGCACCCAGTGAGGCTTGCCTTCACGAGGTGTACTGGACCTCGTACGGGGCGATCGAGGCGAGAAACTCATCCCAGCCTCGCTATCATCTGCCGGGGAAAGAACATCGCGTGCACGGTTGCTGGAAACTGGAGTGCATGATGTCGGTTGCACTGATTCAATCGGTGAACGTGTCTCTTCTGTTCGACAAACAGGATCCGACGCAAAGACACCCGCAACGGGAACCGCGCTGGAGTTGTCATGGCCCGAACACGGGAACAACCGCGGCAAACCAAATGGATGCGCGGCGTCTGAACGACTTTGTTGAACACCGCACATGCTCTGACTTCCGGACCAAGGCGTCGGCAACATCGCTGCGAGAGAGCCCATGGGCGAAGAAAATGGAGGACGAGAAGAAAGCACAACGAATTGCGCAAACGAAGACGTTGTGGGATCGCCAACGAAAGTGGGGAGAGTCGGGATTGCAGCAATGGCTGCACGCATTTGACTCAGGAGAGGAGTTTGTGTGACATTTGTCGAATTCAACAAAGGAGGGAACGGCAGAACGACCATTCTGTCATCCAAACGCTGCCTGGTTGCAGGTCTCTCCAATATACAATCCGTTCGAGTGCGTCCGCGTGGGTCAAAAGACCTCGCCCTCGACCGCGTGAAATATCATGGTACACCGGAGAGCCTTGCAAAGAAGAAAGAGCGCGTGAGGCGGATGGAAATGAAGAGATAGGAGTAGGAAGCAACGGGGATTTCGGCGACGACGACACAGCTACATGAGGTTGTTCGCGCTCCATGATGAAGCCCCTGCTCTATGGATGCGGAAGGGCAGACGCACCTGCACATGCAAAAGCACAGTACCACGGATCGCGATGTGCGTCCAAACACAATATATATATATATATATACATATATATATATATATATATATATTTCGGAGCAATTTGGAAGCTCC